TGTGGCGACTCGCCTCCGCTGCTGTCGCCGTCCTGGTCGTCGTGCGCCATGCTCAGGCTCGTGCCGACTCTCCTGTCGGGCTCGGGCACTGGCTGCCCGCGTGGCTGGGTGCGGCGGCGCTTAGCGGCACGCACCATGCCGTGCTGCTCCTCGTGCCTCGGGGCCCTCGTCAGCAGCTGCTTGCCCGTGGTGTCCCTCTGGCCCCCGTTGGCTAGCACGCACACCTGGGCCACCCAGCCAGCCATGCGACCCACCGCCCCTTGCTGGGAGGCGAAGCGCTCCTCCTCGACCTGCGAGCTGCAGGGGTGGCAGGCCGCTCCCATCTTGGCCTCGGTGTCGGCGGCGTGGTTGCCAAGGGCGAGCCGCCGCTCCACCGAGCCGTATGCGAGCTGGGTGATGACCTGGTGGGCCTTGACCTTGCGGAACTGAAGCTGATCCTGCCCGATGTCCATGATGATCCGCCAGATCCTCCTCCACTGCTCGGCGTAGGCCTTGCCAGGCGCGCAGCACACGGCAGGCCCTGCGGCGATGCCGTCGAGCAGGTCCTGGTAGTCGCTGTAGATGGTGAACGGGGGCACGGCGTGCTGCAGCATGACCTCCACCGCGAAGAGCTCGCCCTCTCCCACCTCCTGTAGCCAGCCAGGAGATGGCCCGTGGCAGGCTCCCGTGACTCGCCCGAGGTGGTCCACCGATGCGCAGCCGAAGCCCACCCGCATGCCATCAGGGCCTGCAAGGCTACGCCCTGATCCGTCCACGAAGCCGTCGTCCATGAAGAAACCTCCTGGGACCTCCACGCTCCACACCGTGTGCCACGCTCTCGACGGCCTCGGCCCCGCGTTCCAGTTGGGCAGCAGGCACCTGCCCCAGAACGCCTCCTGCATCGCGGTGAGCGTGCCCTCGGGGAAGTGGACCTGGCCGATCTCGCTCTCCCTGCGCTCCCGTGCCCACGCCACGCATGCACCGTGGCGGTGTGGGAGCGTGCCAGGGGCCTCTCCGCAGCGCTGGCACAGTAGGGAGTCAGCAAGACCCGCGGCCTGCAGCTGCTGCTGGGGCCACTGTGCTCCGATGACGGTGGAGCGCAGGCCGCGCGCCTCCTGCTTCAGGCCGTGCTTCTCGAGGTTGCGGATGACCCTGCGCACTGGCTCCAGGTGGATGCCGTCCTTGAGGTGCTCCAGCCCTTCATGCATACTTATCTGAGTGTATTGCCACCTCTCGATGGCTCGGTCTAGCAAACCTTTGATCGCCCGTGGCCCCACGCCTTCGCCCAGCTCCAGCTCCTCGCCGTCGTGAGAGGTCCACCTGCTGGTTGAGACTACTTGCCAGCCTATCCTCCTGGCCGTGGCTAGCATCGCGCCCGCTGGCCCGACCACGTCTGACCATGGGTGAGCAGGAGGAGGAGGAGGAGGAGGAGGAGGAGGAGGGGGAGGAGGAGGAGGGGGAGGGGGAGGAGGAGGAGGAGGAGGAGGAGGAGGAGGAGGAGGAGGAGGAGGAGGAGGAGGAGGAGGAGGAGGGAGGGGTGGGGCAGAAGAGGGGAGCGGGGGCGCACTCGCGGCAGGAAGCGGATCCAGCCTGGCGCCCAGACGTGGCGCTGAGCGTATTACAATCGATCCTGGCTCTGAGAAGGCGTCTGAGAGGCTGGTGTCGGGGCAACTCGACGACGACGACGACGACGACGACGACGACGACGACGACGACGACACAAGGACCGAGACGAGATTACAGCAGAAAGGCGAAAAGCAGCCACCGGTAGACGACCACGATGCCTGAGACAGACAACGACAAGTGTGACAGTGGGGCACGAAAAGACTAAACGGAGAGCACGCGCGCCGGGTCTTCAAATCTTACCGAATTAGGTCAGTGCGGATCTTACTCACATCTCGCTTTGCAGGAACACCAACGGGGTCAAGCCTGTGCCTCGGCCTCCTCGTAATCGGAGAGGAGTGGGACCCAGGTGGGTGGAGGTTTGAAAAGAGCAGTAGCTGAGCGTAGGACGTCGCGCGGCTGTGGTCGGGGTCGGCCTCTGTTGGCGACGCGTGAGGCTGCCTGGCCAAGGGAGGTACGCCTAGGTAAGGGCGACCAAGGGGTTGCGCACACTGCTGGCGTGATTGGAAAACAATATATGAAGAACCGAACTTTATACACGGATGTTTTTTTTTCCGGTCCCGCACTGAGATTCGCACAAGAAAACGGATCATGGTGTATACGGCATCCTGGTGTATACATTTGTTGATGCTTCCACGGGAAAACGGGGAAACTAGTATACACCACACCACCCCGACGTCGTCCCCGACCCGCAAGAAAGTCCTGGGATTGAACAACAGCCCGCCACTGGTAATGTATATGTTCCGGTTTCCGAATATATGTGGAGGTGGTGGAGGTGGAAGTGCCCTCGGGCGCCCCCAAAGTCAAAAGCGGGATCCCTCGCCTGCAGACAGGCGTAGGGTCCCCAGCACGCTGACCCGGGGGCCGCCTGGGGGGTCCACCGAGCGCGAGGGAGGCTTGTGCCCTCCAGGAGGTGGCGGGACATTCCACTCGCCGAGAGTGGCTGGTGGCCCCTCTCGCCAAGGTGA